GAGAGAGAGAGAGAGAGAGAGAGAGAGAGAGAGAGAGAAGGCTCCACATTTTATTTCCACTTATTTTTTAAGACAATCGATGATAACACATACTCTGTTGGGTGACTTTTTCCATAGAAGCGATGTTCTAACATGAAGCAAATGGCTCCCAGTTTCTCTGCATATGTGAGCCAGGTACCATGTTGCATCCATGCTGGATTGGCTGGACCCTCTCCACCGATCATAAGAAAGACCGGTCCTCCCATCTTGTAGAAGGCATCATTCACAAAATACCTCTGAGAGAGCAAAGCAAGATAGGACCTTAAGAAAACTGTCTGTCTACTCAAATAAAACTAAACTTTCTACTTTGCATCTGAAGACTTCTCGATCAGTAATTCACAATCATTTCCTACAACTGTACAATCTACGGATTAGTGTTAAATACAATAAACAGTAAGGAGTGGAACAGAATCCGAATACTGTATACCTGCTTCCACACTCTGCCGTCAGCTCCATTGAAGTGATCGAGTTTCTGTATGAACCATTGATCGTCGGACACGGGTTTCTGCCAATCATAAAATCTACCAAACCCCTTGATTCGTCCCTCTCCAACCACAAAGATAGCAAACAGAAAAGCAAAGTTACCAACATTAAATATATAGGTCCGCGAAACCATGTTGACATAAACAGGAACACTGTGCATGTGACTTACAATATGTGGTCACATGACCTCTTTGACAACTTCAAGACGCTCGATGAACGTGGGAGGATACGAAACCGACTACAAAAAGACCAAAATAGAAATTCGATTATTTTAAAGGTGGTGCTATTAATCATCTATATCATAAGTCTTAACATCTGAGTGACCGCGTAAAACGTGCATTTATTCACAAAATTAAATTGAAGAATTTACGAACATTTTACTACAAACCATGAGAAGAAACCAAACTAACTTTACACGTAACAGTTAAACCAAACCTATGGACTATATGGAGAAAGATTTTTAAATATTACTGTAGTCTGCTGGGTAAATAGTTGTATTTTCATGAACGGAATACTTCCGCGATTTACCCTTGCGTCGTGTAGTTTTTACTGCTGCATGTGAAATGTGCACGGCAAGCAGTAGTAAAATGCCAAACCAGTAGGGGCAGTAAAGAAACAACTTCCAGGATTTCTGTACGGCAAAGAAACACTTCCGGTCTCTGGTTGCTCTTTCTATCGGCAGAACGTTTTAGGAGCTTGCAAACATGGAGGACTCCAAAAACAAAGACAAGAAGCAGTCCGAAAAATCCGATGAGAATGAGAAGAACAAGGAAAAGGACTCGCAACCTTCGGGGAAGGATAAAGAGAAGAAAGAGGAGCAAGAATTGGTGAACACTGCTTTGTGCTTGTTGTTTCAAGCCACGGGGCCAAGCCGGCTTATTTTGCCTTGTCACTGCCACTTTGACAACATGGCTCAGCAGGCCTCAGTGACTGTCATTCTAAATACACGTGCATAAATAGCACGTGTTGTTATTATTGTCAGACTTTAAAATCTGATCGTAACGTTTATCTTAGGCGCTTTATTGTTGCGCAGACAAATCCACGATTTATCTTCTGTCGCCGACACTAGCTAACTGATAAGCTAATTTTAGCATATCATGCTAACGGTAACCTTGCACAGTGATGCCATTTCACGATATTTGTACAATTTATGATTTAAAATACCAAAACATGTTTATTGACTTTTCATAAGTTTTGTCTTTGTCTTTTTTTAGTCTGAGGAAGATAAGCAGTTACAAGAGGATTTGGAGATGATGGTGGAGCGACTAGGGGTGACTATTTAGTCATTTGAATACTCGAATTTTAGCCAATACATTTGAGAATAAGACTTGACCCTAACCCAACCTGTACTCACTCCTTTGCAGGAGAAGAACACAGCGTTGTACCGTCCTGCATTGGAAGAGCTGCGGAGGCAGATTCGCTCTTCAACCACCTCCATGACATCGGTTCCCAAGCCTCTTAAATTTTTGCGCCCACATTACGGCAAGCTTAAAGAGATCTATGAAATCATGGCCCCTGGAGAAAACAAGGTATGGCATTGATTCAGGTACATTGCGCATGAGCAAAATACACAGTAAGATCTTGCAGATAAATGTACCAACAACTTGCTGCCAGCAAGACTGTACCTACAAATTTCTGTGAGTAAGGCTGTCTGGGTACACACATAAAGACAATAGATGTCAATTTTATTAGTAGAGCACTTTTCCTATGGCAAGCATAAACTCAGTGTGCTTCAGGATAAAAAACACCGGGATACATTTAAAATGCACCAGGCTATTTTTTCCCCTTCCTGACCAAGGACATCAAATGCAGGCTATCTTGTGTGATGTGTGCTCAGAGTGGATTTGTCCCAAAAATAGGGTCTGAAACGAGTCAGTGCAGACAATGCAAACAATTAAAGGTGTTCAATATTTATGACCAAAAATCTTCATATTTGTATGGAAAACTGACTACTCGTGAGCCATTTGACTCAGTGACATAATGTAAAATAACATAGGCAATCTAAGATGCCTCCTCACTAACAAACAAAAATCAGTTGTAAATGAAACCGACTATGTCTTACTCATTGTTGGATTTTTGTATTAACATGGCTTCTCCAGATGGCAGGAAGTCTTTTCTTGCTGACGTCGCCGTTTTACTTCTTGGGGAGCAATCAGCGCACCATACATGGCAATTTTCCGCGGATCCGCGGAAATCCGCCGTTTTATTTCTTAAATTGATCATTTTTGTGAATCGTCTAAATCCGTTGAGAAAAATTTAGGGGCGGTCAGATACCTTATCGTCGAGTTTTCACGAGCTCTCCCGAACAGTCTCTCTGTTTTCCGTTTGTAAACAGCCCTGCGATTGGACGTGGATGAAAGCTTCAACTAATCAGATCATTGAAGGCATTATTTGTTGCGGGAGTCTTAGCTCGATTATATACGGCCCAGCGATTGGTTAACTACAAGCGATTGGACCAATCAAATTGCATGTAACATATTGTTTTACCTGATTCATGGCGGCCTCTTCGTCTCGCAAATTCATTGTTCTCGGATCGTTTTGAGCGGAATTATGAAATTTTTGACGAAAGATCAGGAGTCTTCAATCCTAGAAATTGACTCAAACGTCAAGAATAAATTCCGATGGGACTGGCTTGACAGAAAAGTCACTGTAAAGGTTAAAATTGGTTCCAAGTTCGACGAAGTTACAGAAGCTCTTGGACAATTTTTGAAGAAACCAGACGTAGCAGGCAAAGATTATTGTGTGTACTGTAGTGACTTAATTAACGTGGATGCGTGGCACTGACAGATCATGCAACAAAAGTGAAAAAACATGCCGACAAAATCGCCATTCGACGGAGCAATTATTCCTTGGGATCGGCATTTTTCAAACAAACTTCGCCAGCGGATACAACTAAAGACGTTACGCGCTGGAGTACCAAGCAACGAAATCTGCTCCACTGACGCCCCTCGCCGATAGACAGGTACACTCCGAGGTATATACTTTTTTATTCAAATATACGAGGATGATATTTTCAATTTTATTTGGTATGCATTTGTAGCAACAGCATGATAACATTTATTTGTTTTTATTTGCGTTTTATATTCATATTGATAATTCACGTTTTGTCTTGGATAATAAAGCACGGTTAGGCATAATAAATTGTATGCATAATAAATATTCACTATCACTGTATGAGGTAAGAATCAACAGCTTTTTATCACATTTACACAACACTTTATGAATACAAGTCATGAACAAATCTTAAATATGGCAGGGAATGTGTTTACTTTTTTAGTTTTGATTTTGAGCAGCAAATTTGGAGTTACATATTGGTGCTCACTAGGAATGCATAAGCAAAATTGCACAAATTTTCACTTGAAAGAATAGTGAACAATCTTGGGATTTTTTTTCTGTTGAAGTTTCAAATAGTGTGTAAATTGAATACACTTCATCTTCAGCATGTTTAGTGCCACTTTTGTAAGTAACCACGCCCCGTCCAGGCCACGCCCCGTCCAGGCCACGCCCCTTCCGCTTTTTTTCATCACTCGCCATTGCCATGTATGGCGCACACCTAAAAGTGTAGACTTGTCTTTGTGTTTGTGAGATCATGTGTGATTGGAGGACTGGATGGTAGGCTGGTGACAGAACAGAATTTTAATATTAGTTGTCCTCTGTGTAGAGATTATCTGAGCAGACCACACAGAATATAACCAAAACTGTAAAATGCCTTATTTTTGTTTTTTTCTGTGTTCTGTCTGTCACAGATCAAAACAAAGAAATGAAATACATACCTACATGCATACATACTTTAAATGTTAAGATTTGAAAAATATTTGTGTAGCATGCCTTAGCTTGACAACCAACCCACAAAATCTTGGGGAGTGGAAACTCTGATTTACGCTTAAATGGGCCAATGAAATTGATTTAAAATTGCTCATACTATTGTCTTTGCAGAGTTTTTGTGCAGATGTGGTGTCAGTGCTGGCCATGACAATGAGTGGGGAGAGGGAGTGTCTGAAGTATCGACTGTTGGGCTCCCAGGAAGAGCTGGCTTCCTGGGGACATGAATATGTTCGGTAATTGCTGTTGACTAAATATAGTCAGCAAAAGAATTTTCCTTGCACTATATTTAACAAAAAAGTCACTTTTCAAGTTGGCTTTCAGATGAAGATAACATGCTGAAAAAGAAAATCAAACCTCGTCTTTCACAGGCACCTGGCTGGTGAGGTGGCTAAAGAGTGGCAGGAGGTGGAGGAGAACGATAAGACCCAGCAGGAGACGTTGCTGAAGCTGGTGAAGGAAATTGTACCTTACAACATGGCACACAATGCTGAGCATGAGGCTTGTGACCTGTTGATGGAAATTGAGAGGCTGGACATGCTGGAGGACTACATCGATGAGAACGCCTATGGCAAGGTTTGCCTCTACCTCACAAGGTATGTTCATTTTATAACTTGCTATAATCACGATGTTTGGTATGTTTACTGTAATTAGGTCCTCAAAAAGTATTTGACACTTTAACCACCACTGTTCCAGTTGTGTGAGCTATGTTCCGGAGCCTGAAAACTCTGCATTGCTACGGTGTGCCTTGAAGATCTTCAGAAAATTCAACCGGCATCCAGAGGCTCTTCGATTGGCCCTGATGCTCAATGATGTGGAGCTCGTCGAAAACATCTTCACTTCTTGCAAAGACATGTGAGGACTTTAGACCTTAAGATGAAGAGCACTGCTCTGCGGCATTACATTTAGTAATTGTAGCTTTAGATAGATGTATTATTTTCACTAACGCCTTTGAATTTTCCTTGAAGAGTTATTCAGAAGCAGATGTCCTTCATGCTTGGTCGCCATGGCATGTTCTTGGAGCTTAATGAAGATGTAGAAGATTACGAGGACCTGACAGAGATCATGTCCAATGTGCAGCTCAACAGCAATTTTTTGGCCTTGGCCAGAGAGGTAGGAAAATAAAGGGTGAAGGGGAGGAATGCGGAATTACATAATTTGCAAGGCTAATGTCAGGGTCAAACCTTCCCAACTCGTCCTCCAATCATGATGAGTTGTATTTGTTAATTTTTTTGTATTCACTTCTGATCTTATAATTTATTCATTCATTTATTTATTCTCTTCCGCTTATCTGAGTTCAGATTGCAGGGGCAAGCTTAAGCAGGGCAGCCCAGACTTGCGTTTTCCTAGCCATTTCATTTAGCTCCTCCTAGGGAATCCTAAGGTGTTCCCCAGCCAGCTGGGAGACATAAGCCCTGTTCACACGGCACACATTTGGTCCGACGCTGCACCGAAATATTTTGTTGCGATATATTTTACACCGGAGCAAATTTTGTGGAGCGGTCACACGTGCAAAGCCGCTGAGCGTGACAGCTCCGACGCAGCGTCGGCGCAGCTCCACTTGTGGTCACACGTGCAGTTTCTGCTGCGGACCAAAACGACAGGAATGCGGAAGTAAAACAGATTCGGGTTGGGTCGGGCTTCTCTCTCACGGACTTTTGTTTATTTTTCTTTTAATAAATATTATGGCGGACACTATTCTGTCCTTGTTCAGAATAGATCCACTTGTTGGCAGTCGTGGAATAAAGACGTGTTTACAGTCAATCGTGTGTGCTCCTTATGACTGCCACAATATATGTTTTAAAAAATGTACACTAAAACGATGTGCGGATACTAAACTAAGGAATACTTGTTTTAAAACAAACAATTTGGATAAAACTGAGAATGCGCTGTAATTTAATTGCTATTTAACTGCTAAACAGGAGCGCAGCCGGCCAGACGTATGTTAATTTCATTTAAACAATCCTATAGAAATAATTTCAGATATCTTTACCTGTTTATTTGATTTGAATTATTCTATTTAAAGCCTAGTAAGCCACAAGATTTATCTGCGTAATTAAGCAAATGCACATCGAGATTTCTCTTTGCCTGTCCTCTTATTCTGTATTTCAGCGTTATTTCGTTGTGCAAATGCATTGATAATGTTCATAAAAATA